TCAGCACCATTTATTAATCAACGCTATTAATTGAAAAAAACTATTTGGATTAATTTAAAAAACTATAATTATAGTTCTATTTTTTTTTAGAAGTAAATTAATTAATTCTTGAATTTTCATTAATTTGATCAACAAGATGATAAAAGTCTTGTTGCAAATTAATTGGGTAATTGTTGAATTGGGTGTTGAATATTTGAATTTCAACGGAAGTAATTTTATGTGTTAATCTATCAACAACATATGTTAATGACCATTCAAAAGAGAAGGCATTTTCTTTATAAGATTTTTCTCCTTTAATATGTTTAATAATGATTTCTTGTGGTTCAATAGTAAGACAAATTCTCCAACCAGTATATCCATCATGGTATTGATGTTTTAATCTTAATGGGAGTAGATATTCAACTGCAGCAGCAAATAAAGCTTGTGTAAAAGTTTTCATAACAGCTAAACATAAACTATTTTCAGTGAATACTATTGGTAATAGTCTTTTAAAAAATGTACCACAATCACCATTTCCATTATTATGAATATAAGTAAAAACTATGTCAAATTGTTTATCAAATTCTTCACTAAACTCTTTTCCATCTAATTTTTTGATTAATAATGAAACTACTTCTTTTAATGTACTTTCCATTCCATATGTTTCTTCTTCATGAGATGTTGATATAATACTTCCATCTAAGATTGTATTATTTTCTTCAATTACTGTAAGTTTACTAACTAACCTTGGAATATCAATAGCAACAGATGTTTCTGCCATTGGTTTTTCATGTAACGAAAGAATCCTTTTATACATATCAGTAAATGTTAATTCAGTTCTTTGATATCTTTCAGGATCAAATTTAGTATAACCAGTTTTATTTTTCTTTGGTTTAAATAAACACGACACTCCAATAATCATACCAGTTAATATAGCAATAATTATTATTAAAATGAGTGTTAAATATATTACCTCCATTTTATGTATTTTTAAAATGTTATTTTTTATTTTTTCTTTTTTCAGTTCTAAAAAAATAATATTGTGATAACGATTATTCAATTAAAGTATTTACTCACAATCCTCTTCTATATATGAGGAATTAACTTTAAGCCTCAGGCGGTTTCTTTGGAGCTATTTGTATATTATCGTCTTGGATATTATCCGGTCGTTTATTCACTTCTGAAACTGTTTTAAATTTTGATTGGTCAGTTGGTTTATAAGGTGGTTGTGATTGAGGTTGTGGATATTGAGAAAGAGGAGCTTGATAAGTAGGATTTCTATAAACACTTGGATATCCATATGATGGGTCTTGACTATGACTGAAATCAGGTGGAATCATATCAGCTCCTCCTCCAAGACTTCTTTGTTGATCATACATATATGATGAACGTCTATCTTGATCTGTAAAATAGTCAGAAGCCATTGGAACATGTGGTTGTTGTTGAACACCTCCAGGAGATGGAATTTGACCAGAAAGCATTTGACGAGAATTTTGAGGGATAGCTTTCTCAGCCATTGTTGTTTGATCTTTTTGAATAACAGAAGAATCATTAATACCAGGAGTAGCACCAACAGCACGTTGTTCCGAGAGGTCTTCAGGAATACTTGTAGAATGACAAATAGCAGGGTACTATTTATAAGTAATTATCAAATATAGAAATAGAACATATGAACGATATATAAATAAAACTTATTATCTTTAAATATATAGAACATCGTCTCATCACTCATATACTTCTTCTTATTCAAATAAAAAAAATTAAACAAACATCAGCATTTGAATAACTAAAGTAATTAGACTTAAATTCAACAAATTTGATTAATGTATCTTTAACATCCTTAGAAGAATATACTACTAATTTATCGTTTGCAAAAATAAAGAGTGATACTTCACAATCACACAAAATACTTAATTCCATTGCTTTTTTAATTAATCCATGACTTCGTTTAGTATAAGTGGCTGTTCTTTTTCTTTCACTCTCAATTCTTTCTATCTTTATTTTATTTCTTCCCATTTTGTATTTCTTTTTTGAGGATCTCCTATTTATATTTTTACCCTTAAATAATAAACCCTTTATCTCTTTTTGATTGGTCAATTGTCTGGTTTAAATATATAATTAGATTTGTTATAAATATAGTTAATTTGATCTATAAATTTATTGTAGAAGTTTCTTTTTTTCTTTTTTTTTTTCTCGTTTCTTTTTGTCTCTTTTCTTTAAGTATAATTTTTTATTATAATTTTTACTATTGAATTAAAATAGATTTAGGGTTTTTCTTTTTTTCTCTTTTCGAAAAAAAAATGGAAAATTGAACAATTATAATAAACTTTGTTATATATAACGAAAAAAGAATATACACATTTGTTCAAATTCAAAAAGATATTTTTAGTTTAGTTATCATCTGTATTTGTTAAAAGCAAAAAAATTAATTCTAAAAAGATAAATAACAACAAAATTTAATTTAAAAAAGAAAGAGAGTTAATGATTTTTATTAATGAAAAAACAATAAAAAAGAAGTTTAATTTTAAATGAGCCAATTACCACAAAATAATTCTCAAAAACTTCCTCATGAATATTTGACATTGGAACAAAAGTTAAGGTTAATGATTGGTGAATATATTTGTTTAATGAATCCTTTTAAATTTTTTCCTTCTTTGAATGAAATTAAGTCATGTGTTTGGGCAAGTGGATCAATGATTTATCCAATTACTGGTATTTCACCTTCAATAAATCTTTGTGATGGTCCTTCTGGACTTAGAATTGGTTCTAAATTGTTTATTAAAAATTCTACTTCTTTTCCATCAGCGACATGTATTGCTGCTACATTTAACAAAGAAATGGCTATAATAGAGGGAGAAGCTATTGGAAGTGAGTGTGTTAATAAGTCTATTGGAGTTCTTCTTGCACCAGCAATTAATATTCAAAGACATCCATTAGCAGGAAGAAATTATGAATGTTATTCAGAAGATCCTGTTTTAGCTGGGGAAATGGGAGCTTCATATATTGTTGGAGTACAAAAAAATGGAATTGCAGCTTGTGTTAAACATTTTGTTGCTAATAACCAAGAAACACAAAGAGAAGAAATTAATGTAGAAGTATCACAACGTGCTTTAAGAGAAATTTATGTTGAAACATTTAGAATTGCACTTCAAGGAAACCCACTTACTTTAATGACATCATATAATAAAGTAAATGGACAATACGTTGGAGAAAATGAAGAAATGAAGAAGTTATTGAGAGAAGACCTTCATTATAATGGAATTATTATGACTGATTGGTATGCATGTAAAGATACTGTGAAAATGGTATTAGGAGGAAATAATCTAATTGAACCAGGAAAACCAAGTAATTATACTGAACTATTTGAAGAAATTAAAAAAGGAAATGATAAACTAATGAAAGAAATTGATGAGTCTGTTGATAGAATAATTGAATTTACTAACTCTATTAAACCAATAAAACAAATAATTAATTCTACAAATGTGGCTCTTTCAGTTGCTGTAGAGGGATGTGTATTATTAAAAAATAATCAATGTCTACCATTAAAACAGTCATCAAAAATTTGTCTCATTGGAAGTGCATCATATAAACCATTTGCATTTGGTATTGGAAGTGGTCAGTCTAATCCATTAAGAGTTATTTCAATTAAAGAAGGATTATTGTCACAAGGAATGTTTATTGATCAACCAATTGAAAGAATTTATTCTCAACACGTTTATCAACAAAATAAAAGATCAGTAGATACTTATATGGGTGTTTTTAATTTATTTAAAGATTACGAAGAATTATTATTTGAGAAAAGATTGTGTATTAGATGTTCACAGGAATGTGATGTTGCTGTATTTACTATAGGAAGAGTTTGTGGTGAGTTTTATGATAGAACACCACAATCATTTTGTCTTCAACCAAATGAAATTAATACAATTAAATGTATTAGTGAGGTGTTTCATTCTGTTAATAAAAAGGTTATTGTAGTTTTAAATATTGGAGGTGTTATTGAAATTGAAAGTTGGAAAGATCTTGTTGATGGAATTATTGTTTGTTGGATAAATGGAGAACAATGTGGTAATGCTGTTGCTTCAATAATATCTGGTCAGACAAACCCATCTGGTAGACTTCCAACAACTTTTCCAATTACTTTAAGTCAACCAAATTTGCGATCATTTCCAGGAGATGACCCAATTAAACCAACAAAAGTGATATATGAAGAAGATATTTATGTTGGATATCGTTATTACACAACATTTAATCAAAAATGTTCATATCCATTTGGATATGGGTTATCATATTCTCAATTTGAATATTCTAATTTTAATGTTTCTGTTGATTTAGAACATCAACTTATTCATTTTACTGTAACTGTAACAAACATTGGAACTCTTAAAGGAAAAGAGGTTATTCAAATTTATGTTTCAATCCCAGAAGATCGTTTAGAACATCCATCTATTGAATTAAAAGCATTTGGTAAAACAAAATTATTATGTCCAAATGAAAATCAACAACTTTCTTTTACTAAAACTTTTAGAGACTTTAGTTCATTTGATACTAACTCAGCTTTTTGGATTATGGAAAAAGGTGCTTATACTGCTTTTGTAAGTAAAGACTGTTTAACACATATTCTTTCTAAACAATTTTTAATAACTGAAACAATAATAGTTGAACAATCACATTTATATGCCATGCCAATTACTCAATTCAATTGTTTTTCAAGAAATTCAATACAATAAATTTAATGATAAGTATTATTTTTCTTTTTTTTTTGAAGAATAAGAATAAAACCTATTAAAATAATTTAATTTAACTTCTTTCATTTTATATTTTTGTTTATGATAAATTAAATTGTTCAAATTCTTTTAAAGTATTTCAATTTTATTAATGAAAATAGAAATTATTTAAACAAAACAATTCATACTTGAAGATAATCATTAATTACATTCTTATTTCAAAAACTAATTATCTACTTCAAATATATTCAAAAGTAGTATTTTGTTATTTATTATTAGTCAAACAATATTAGTGTAATATGATAAGAACAAGAATGTTAATAAAAAAATACAATTAATTAATAAGGATTAAAAGTATTTTTTGAATAAGAACTAAATATTTTTTTTATTTTTAGGTTATGAGTGAATGTATTATTTTTGATAGTGATGTACAAGGATGGAATAAAGAAGAATTCTGTAAGAGTATATTAAATAAATCTTATTTATCATTTTATATTCAAACAAATTCAAATTTAGTTTTTGGTTTTCATCTTACGAAGTCTATTAAAATTGTTGATTATTATTCATATGATTCTCAATTATCTTTCTTTCAATATTTTCCAAATAAGAAACAATTACCTTCTAATCCAATGAATCAATGGATAGGTATTTGTCTTCCAGCAGAGGAAAGGAATACCTTATTTCATCTTGGAATGAATGATTATGAAAGTGATGTTAATTTTTTAACAATAAGAAATACCAAATTATTTTCTCGTGTTCATCTTTTAGATGATTTTTTTCTTTTGCAAGAAGGTGATATACTCCCTGAGATGGAATTTCAAACTTTAAGGTTGATAGTAATTCAAATTTTATGAAAATATCTATATTTCTAGTTCATTTTTTTTACTTATTAATAAATTATTATTTATAGTTATATGTCTTGCAGTGAAACACCACAAGAAAAAGAGCAAATATATGAGAACCTTATGACAGAAGATCAACGATATTTTGAAGGTAAAAGAAATTGGTTAAGACAACAAAGCCTTGAAGAAATTTTTGAACCTAATGAAATTAATACCATATTAAATGCATTAAATTCTGTAGATAGATTATGGGAAAACGTTTGTATACTACTTATCAAAAAGATATAAAAAAGAAGAGATGTAATCATATCATAGATTTATGAAACGAAAAGAAGATATCATAAATTTAATCAAGAAATGAAAGAAAATGAAGACTTTTTATCATCAATAAATAAACAATTTGATGAAATGGAAAAATCATTTTTATCTTCAATAACACAAAATACAATAATTGGAAAAGAAACAAATTAAGAATAAAAGAAGACAAACAATAATAGTAAATTGAATTATTTGTAAGAAAAAAATATTATTTTTATTATTAAGAATAATATTGAGTATATTCGCAATCAACACATTCAGGTATTTCTATTTTGATTGATTTTACATCTTTCATTGATTTAATTAATTCACGAGTTTGAACAGTAATATTTGTTGAAGAAACTAATGTTTGAGAATACCTAAAGAATTGACTAAATGGAAGAATGGTTGGATTAGCATAGTCATAAATACTTGTTGGGTTGTCATTAATAGTAATAATTGGTAATTTATCTAAATAAAATGTAAAAGGAGCAATAACATTTATCAATGATAATGAAGTATTTGATGGAAGAATTTCATAACTAATAAAACTTAATTGATTTACATAAAACCCACCAGCAATATAAGAACTTCTAAAAGAATTATCATTCTTTTTATAAACAAAAGGAATAGCAAGAAATTCTAATTTACGATCTGTTTCAATAACAGCGTGATATTCTATTGAAGAATAGAAAGTAACATTGGCAATAATACCATGATGACTTGATTCAATAATATATTTTTGGTTTTTACCAGTATAATTTAATTGAGTAACATTAAGATGTCTACTAGTAATATAAACTTGATTTTTAAACTCTACAATATTAATTAAACTTGGTAACATTTGTTTATCTTCATAATGATTATCTGAACAAAGTGATATTTGGTGAATAAATGGATAATAACTATTCATTAACTCCCAATTTTCATCATATGACATTGTAAAATTAATTGATTTTACTTGATTTTCTTTTGTAGAATTTACACAAAAAATAGAAGGAGATGTAATAGATGGATAACAATTCTGTTTTTGTAATGGAATAACAAGAACAGTAAAATTACTTGAACATCCAATATTTGAAAATTCACTAAAATACATAGAATATGTAGGTTTTGGATCTTCTATTGTAATAGTAACTGGATATGGTTGAATTATCATTTCTTCTGTAGTATTTAATTCAAAGGAAATAACTAATCTTTCACATTTTTTATAATGGTCAAACCACCCACTAGTAGCACAACCAATGAACTCTCTATTAAAACTGAAACGAGAATCATTTAATGTAATTTTTGGTAGAAGAATGTCTCTATTAAAAAAACCTCCGACTTGTTGTTCAATAAATGTTCCATAAAATGTTAATGAATAAGATGGATCAACAAAAGTGTAAAATTGTGTTGTATTTTTAACATCAATAAAAGGGGGGTCTTCGTAATTAACTAATAATGAATTATATCCTTTACTACAAACATATGACTTTTTAATTGTTATCATTCTCATTATTAGAAAAAATATTGAAACAAATAATGATACTCCAATAACAACTTTTAAATAATATTTTACTTTAAATTGTTTCTTATAATATTCATCTCGTGTATTTTCAGTATTATCATTTTTCTTCGTATCAGAGTCATAACTATATAACAGATCTTGCATTTCTCTTAATTTTTTAGTTCTCTTAATATTTTTTTGTTTTTTTGTTTTTTTTTTAATATTTTTACTAATTTTGAATGATTGGAAGATGGAGCAATATTCTATGCGTATAGAAAATCAAAAATAATGAAAAA